CATGGTACACACTCTCTGTCCACGGTGTGTTTGCACTCTCCGGTCTGTCCCAGCACGTCCCACATTTCACAGCAACTGCTAATGACATTTTCAGGGAGGGGAGGCGGAGGGGGTAACGCCAATGGTCACCTGTTGCTGCGATGGGGTTTAGAGCGACAATAAATCAAGCACATTGACATTAATTTCTAAGCCATGAAACCGTCTTCGGGTGTGATACATAGTAAATGCATTGACTATGCACCGACAATCCCCGCTACGAGAAACACTACGATGCATTCTCGTCCGCTCCCGGAAATGGTCGCAGATACACACTGGCAGCGCCCCGGTGAGGAGGCCGCACCGTCGGCCCAAATACACACTGGCAGCTTCCCGGTGAGGCGGCCACACCGTCGGCCCACACGAGCCGTGGCGGCTCCGTTGACAGCGTACCATGGCAGCGACGCATACATCAGCCGGCCGGTCGGGTCACGTGACGCGGTGGCCACGGCCGCGACACGGACTGTGCGACCCACCGGTAGGAGGAGCCCAGGTAGGCGGCGCGGGCAGGTCTGGGGCGGACTTTGACCGGGCTATCAGTCCCCTGGGAGAGGGGGTGGGGGCGCCGCGTCATGCGCTGCTTTGACCTGTCGCCAGACGCCACCCGCTTGGCGGCGGTGGTTGACGGTGGTTGACGGTGATGCGCTCTGTGTGAAGTCTGTACGTTTTCTCTGATTGGAAGGTCTAATTCTGCTTTGAAGGCTGAACGGTGGATGGAAATAGTCGATTTTGACCGAGGATTGTGTTATTTGGGTGTGGGGAATGGGTCGATGGAACTAACTAGCTGCATCGACTGCTGTGCTTAGGGAGGCGTCCAATTAAGAGCGCTGGTCAAGGCTGGTACGAATCTATTAAGCATGACAGTGAGGCGATACGTGCTAGGCACGCCACCGGGCTGTGTTGGTGTGACTGGACCTGCGTCCAGGGGCCGATCAATGCAGGGCGGGCACTCAATCTGATGGCCAAAGGCAATGAGCTTGTTTGGGACGTGAAGGAGGCAACTGTTGGTAAAAGATGGCCCCAACGCCTGTACACGAGCATGGGATAACTAAATGGAGCACCCTAACCCATCCCAGCCTACGTGTTTGGTATGGTAAGAAGGGTATGCCCCGAGTAAAAAGGAAACGGACCCATAGCGCTTGTAAAACAAATCTCTCGTTGACCGTTGTCAATGACGTTGTCATGCAGTACAAAATTAATGCGCTCGTATCTCTGAGACAAAGAAGGGTGTGTCAAAGGGCCTCAAACATGGTAGTCATCTATCGTGGTTTAGCAGACCAGGCTGGCTGCTAGACTGAGCTGAGCTGACCTTCCTGAATCAGCTAAACCACGGCCCAATCCCAAGGCAACACTCAGGTGGGATTAAGGCACTCAACTCAGAATATGAAGAGGCCTTTGCTACTGCATTTCAATACATAGCTGTCAAGGCTTCTGTTGACGTCGATCGTAATCTGCTAGTCAGAACTGACAGCTAGGTGTCAGCAACGTGCGATCACGCTAAGCAGCAGCCAAGTATTACAAGAACTACGTAAACACGTTCTGCGACGATTTAGAACTGATGGCTTGCCTAGAAGGTAAAACGCCCATCACTGTATGCATATTTCATGCAAGATGCTGATTATGATAGCAGGATGCAAACCAGGTATCTGCAACATATTATCAATAAAGAATGTACCAATCACTGGCACTGAATGGGTGTAGTTCAGTATGTTGACCTCTAATTCACCCTTGAGGCCTGCAGTAAAACCTATAACTGTTAGGCGACAGCTGATCCGGAGAGTGCCTTTGTTTGACCGTCACATGCACGCAGTGGTCTCAGCTCGCCCATAGCGTTGGTCTGCGGGGAGAGCGTGCAGCCCGGTCATCGCTCCCCAACACTGTGTGGCTGCCAGTTGCGTGTAGGCGGTTCATATCAGTCCTTGTCTGGCTGGTACCAGCTTCCTACCAGCCTCAGTCCGGCTTCATATCGGTCCTTGCCTGGCTGTTACCAGCTTCCTACCAGCCTCAGTCCGGCTCTGCCTCCTTTTACCAGCCTCAGTCCGGCTTTTACCACCTTTTACCAGCCTCAGTCAGCCGGCGTCCCTGGGTTCCGTGCGCCGTCAGACGACAAAGAATTAAGCGCCGCTGACAGCAGATCCAGATACCTTGACGTGACAATAAGGCGCTTGTTAGGGGGCATTAGGCCCCTGCGCATCGTCAGACAATAAAGAGTTTAGCCCGGCTGACAGCGAACCCATCTGAATGTTTGCGATATTAGGGAGTCAGGCCCGCCGGTGAAGCAGATCGAAGCCCCAGGGCAAGTCAAGGGCGCCTTAGAAATCACTACCGACGCGTACATCTAGACACACGACCATTCAAGCACGAAAGGCTGCGATAAATGTGGGATAAGACCTGCAACACTGACACATTTTCTTTATACCTACATTGAAATGTTGTTTGGGTGAGCTAGGTCAGCGGGGCTTGCCACGGCTGCGTGATGGTAAGCATCATCTCTCCGCGTTAGATTTTGTCCTGCAGACCCGTCGGCTATTGATCAGAATGCACTGCGCATGTCCTCTGAGGTAGCTCACATGACGTAAGCACCTGGGCGAAATTACATTCATGAAGAGTCCCTTCGACTGGTTAATGCCCGTATTGACGGTCTGTGGCTATTGTCACCGACTACATTTCGGTACATATTGTAAGCATTACCTATTCTGATGTACCATACATACCATGATGATGTACCATATAAGGAAGCTGAAACGCCGCCAGGCCAAATGCCAATAAAAAACTATTCTCTACAAAAGCTAGTGAGCACAAAAACAAAGCATCGCTTTGGCCTTTGAACCGCATTAAAGCTTGCACGTTTCGGCTGCTCCTAATGTATTGAAGACGCCACAAAAAGTCATCGCTTGAAATGCTTCGGTTTCGTGCGGCGGATGGACAGCTGCTGTTCGTGTGTGTGTGTGTGTTTACCAGAAACCGCCCGCTGTCACGCCACGTGCCATGCTCGCTAGCGTTTGCCATCAGGACGAGCCGCTAAACATGTGCCGCTGGACGGGCGTCACACTGGAATGCGCGTCAAAACAAATTATGTGCAACACTCGCTGCATTTTTATCCGCCAGCGCACTAGCATACCGGAAGACATTATTACACATTGAATGTAGTTGTTTTGTTTTAAATGCCGTAAAGGGATTGTTTTGTCTAAATCGCTAAGCTCGCACAAATTGTATATTTTGCAATATATAATTTAATGTGGGTATTTTTTTGATTTGATGCTTCAAATGCTATAGCTCATGCGTTTAATGACATGTATAAAAAGATAATTTGAAGTTTAAAGGTTGGACGAAGGCTTGTACTGAAACTGTCCGTGTGTCTTTGTGCAAGTTCACACCTAAATGCCGGCGCGCTGTGAGACGAAATTGAGCAGCAAAGTGTGTCACCCCATTGATTTGTGTTTGGTTAAAACGTTTGGAAGGCTCAAACTAGGTACCCAGCCTATTACATTATGGCTAGGTTGCAGCAGGCTGTGTAACGGGCCTTCAAAAAGTATGGGCGTTCGGACGGCCAACCAGTGAACGGAATAAATCCGTTTTGTCCGTAAATTTCTGACATGGATCACATTCAGTCCGGTATTAATCCTGCATGAAAAGCGAGGTACTGACATGGGGCACTCATGGCCAAAAACTACCACCGCCATCATGCCCTGGCGCATCTGTTGAAAAACTATTTGAACTCCTTTACTCACTGAACCGTCGGGTGGTCTTCATACTTGCATGACGTACGAGAGTAATTCAACATAACTGTACCATCGACTCGGTATATGGCTGCAGTTTTAATGGCCAAATGAATCATCGATTTTATCACGCAGAGCTCCGACTCTAAGTAGAATATCTAGAACAAAACAAAAATTCACCGTATATGCGTGTTTGAAAGCGCGGCCATACTCTAAACGTGGGAGCGATGCAACGAATTTTTAAGGCGCCACGACATCTGACTTAGCATGCCATTCAATTGTACTTGCGTTGTGTATCACGTGACATGTTTTACAACAAAACAGAGAAGCACAGCAAGATGATGTAACATCCAAAACATTGCAAAGTGTTTGCGGATGAGTGGCCATTCGACGATCAGTTGGCAGTTAGGTGGATGGGCACACGGTATTCTTAATTATGTTAAGTCATGCACCAACGCAGGCCTGATATGACGCCTTCCCAGAGTTTTAAAGGGGCTCATCTCCCCTACCCTTCGAGTTTTGGAACCACCAGACATTACGTACATCAGAACAGGGATCATGCATGGTCTCCCTACCGCCGACCTACCTACCCATCCACCGCTGGCCTACCTTGGAGCCGATCTGGTTGCCACACTGGCCGGCCTGGATGTGCACGATTTCTCGCATGGTGAGCCTCTCTTGTGGCTGGAGATGAGAGCCTGCGTCGGAAGACGTTCGGTGTGAGATGAGGTCAGGGCGACAGCATCCCTCGGTGTGAGATGCGGTCAGGGCGACAGCATCCCTCGGTGTGAGATGCGGTCAGGGCGACAGCATCCCTCGGTGTGAGATGAGGTCAGGGCGACAGCATCCCTCGGTGTGAGATGCGGTCAGTGAGGCCAGGGTGGGGGGACACCGTGACAAGGGCCAAACAGCCAGGGCGACAGCATCCCTCGGTGTGAGATGCGGTCAGTGAGGCCAGGGTGGGGGGACACCGTGACAAGGGCCAAAACAGTCAGAGCGACAGCATCCCTGAGAGACTTTAAGGCGGTAGACGCAGCTTTGTCCTACTCCCTTCTATGTAGCGTAGCAAGACTCATGCTACATTTGTCCGAGAATGTGAGAGACCGTTAACCGCCTCGTTGTTCCCCACCTGTTCAAAACATTTATCAGCATTTGCATGTGCAGGTACTCGCAAACCGGGTAGACCGGTGCCGTCAACATAGGCATTAATGCGATCAATGGTGCCACAAAAACAAACTTAAAAAGCCAACGACGCTAGGCGCAGTCGACAGGAAGTGCTATGCGCAGCTGCGATCTGCGTGGCGCTTTCCAGCCTGAAGTCTGTCCCACTGAGCCTCCACGGTGGGTCCACCCCTGCCGCCCGTCTCTGAGCTAACCGCGCCACTGACCGGTGGTTGGGTCACTGTCCAGTGTCCACTGGGCGGCCGCGGACGCCGCCGGGACAGCAGAGCCCTGGTCCGCGCCGTCGGCAAGGCAACCGCCACCCCAACAGACCGCTCGCACCAATCATCGCGTGCGCCTGCATTATTACTGCCGACGGTCGCCGAACAGTCTGACCGCCTTCGGCGAAACTGGCGCGCAAGGACATGGTAAACGGAGCTCTGTGTACCAGGAACGGCCGGCCTCCTTGCGCGTGGCGCAGCGAAGAATCGCCACTTGAGCGGCGTGCAGGCAAATGGGCAGAGCAGGGAAAGAGGCAGCTGCGGTGGGCCAACGGTCAGGTGATCCGTTTCTAGCGTGGCCTTCGCGTTGTGAGCTTGTCCGCCAACACGTGCTGAACAGTTATGGCAGGTGTATGAACGTTCTAAGCTAAGAACGATATCTGCTTACATAAACTCCGGCAGTAAAGAACATAGTTTTCACCATCGCTGACTGGACAATCGATTCTGGTGCGGCCTGCTGCCGGCTGTGGCGGACCATTGACGTCCGTGAGCATTGGGGCCAGTCGTGCTTGGTATAATCATGCGTAAATATTGATGTGTGCGGTGCATGTCTCAGCGCACGACACAAACGATTGCTGGACAACTTACCCTGGGTATGTTGCTGCCAGGACCAATCGCACTAGAGGTTGGCACCGCGACTACAAGCTGTTTGCACAAACACTGCTCAGAACGCCAACGCGCGACGACACTGGCACAATCGGTTCGTCCGTCGTTCGTTCGTCCAGCGGCGGATGGCGTGCTCAGCTCGCCTCCATATGTATTTATTCACTGACGGGTCTTAGACCCAGCAGTGATGCTGCAGAGCAGCGGCCAGCCGCCGCAGAGGTGATGCGGCGTGCGCAGTCCGTTTGGTGGCATGCGCGGCGGTCAGGCTCGTCAACCGTGAGGTTTGGAGAGTTTCATCAGCCGGACAGAGCATATGTCGCCGCACAGAATCGCATGAGCCCAGCGAGCGGGTCCCGCACGCCCAGACCCGCCTCAAAGTTGGGAGCTAGCGCGTCTGGCATTGCGAAAGTGGGGGGTGGGGGGGGGATTGCATGTGATGTGTTGTGTTCTGGTCTTGCGGGCTGTCGCCAGGACGCTGTATTGAAAATGGCTTCTCGATGTTGATGCCTAGTTCACAGCGCAACATGTTTCAGCTGGCAGCCCAGTAAGTGTTTGGCAATAGTTCACTGCTACGTGAAGCAATTGGGGGTGTCCTATGCCGCTTCGGTGATAAGCGTACTGCGTACGTGCTTGCACAGAAATGCATACAGTGGATTATGAAAAGAGGCCTTACCGGAAAATTTGCAAATTTAAGCATGACTTCTGCATTTCATAACTTACATGACTTCTACATTTTATCTATAAATTTTGCGTCGCCCAAGTGGCAAAACCAGGTTGCGATCTGTACCTTTAACAACCCACCCGACAGTTTGATTATATTCACCGAAATCCTTGATATTCATCATGTACCATTTTTCATTTGTTTACTTTGAGCGTTTTAACATTATTTTTTCTTAAAGATGTAGCTGAATAACGTCAATTGCCACCTTGTGCGCACTTGAATAAGTGGAATAGGTTTTGTCTTCACAGTTGCAGTTCAGACTAACAGTTAATTGTTTGCTTAGGATACAGGTTCCTGTTAGCTGGTCCGGGGGTTAGTACTAATTGATGTTCCTCTTGATAACGGTGGGTGACTGATTTCAGTCAGTAGACCTTTCCCTGAAAGCTAGGCGGCACGAAAGCCAGTCAGGATGGAACCTGAAAAGTGCTCTGTGTGGCGGTGTGATGTGGGTTGAAACGTTGCGTAACACCTGATTTATTCAACATGGAACTTGTCACCGACTTACGACGGCTCCCAAATGTTTTCCAATGTCATTGCTGATCTGATATCGTAAAATTTCCAAGATAACTATTTGATCTGCGCGCATGTGGATGCTCCGCCCTCCGAGAAAGATTGCGAGAACTTCTTAAGACCTCACCGAACTTCCGTCTCCACAGGTGTGACGGTCGCAGGCGTTCGGTAATACGCTGTTATGGGGTCATATCCAACAAATAGGTGCAGCCTGCCGATCATGATACTTGGATGCCATTCGAAGGCTCTTAGAAAGCCCTATCAAACACACATGGTCCCACTCCTTGCGCGTCGTTCCAAATACATTTAGTCATGCCGGTTTGAAGCTAAGCTAAGCGTATCAAACATGAGAGCTCTGTGTTTTCTTATATTAGGCCTATTTGTGTTGTTATTAGGTCTTGAGTGCTGCACAACGCTATGCTCAACGACGTTGCCACATGAAAATACACAAATGGTGACGATTGCAAAATTGTGAGGGAGGGGGGGTAGTACAAATTTGGTAGTAAAAAAAACCCTCGTCTCCACGTTCAGCGCGGCCGCCCGGATTGGCAGCCCGTCGTCGGATGGTCATAGCAAAACAAACAGGCCCCCCTGCCGATCACGATGCTTGAGTGTCGCCGGATGGTTCCGGGACGCTGTTATCAAACGTGAGTTGGAAAAAATTTGGAAGTGTCGCGCTCCGAGACCGGTTATGTCAAACACTGCCGTAATTTCCTTTCCCTGTTCCTGTCGCCCGCCAGCAATCATCAGTACACTTTAAGGGGATTGCATTGAAGAAAGAGCTGTTGCCTGCCGTGCGCTATGTTTCGGTGCCGTTCAATACTCCTGAACCAGTGCTACTAATCCTGCACAGCGCCAGTCTCCACGTAAACGTATGCAAGCTTTAAATCACTGCCTTATTTTCGTCTCCGCGCGCGTGGCGGCCCCTCATTAAGTAATGCGCAGTCTGGGATTATGTTACACAAAAATGCACCGTCGGACAGTCTCGAAGTGTGAGCGTGGCTCGATAAACTTGTGCCAGTGAGCTATCATAGCAGTAGGAAACTCACACGGCCCCATTTTCCGATGAGTTCGTAATTTCCTTTCGAGTTGCGGCCGCCACGTCAGCGTACTGATGGCCAGCCGCATTTATCAATACTCCGCAATTAGCAACAAGTCATATCAAGTAAATAGACATCACCAGCTCATCTTTATGATTGAGTGTCGTTCGATAGTGCTGATCTAGTTTCTGTGCACGTTTCAAGCTTAAAATCTGAGAATATGAACATTTTTAAAACAGTTATGTACTCAAGCTAACACTTGCCGGGCGGCCGTCCGCATCCGGCAATACGGCCGTCAGGAGGCGTATCAGACAAGCAAGCCCCGACAGCCGATCTCGGCGCTTCAGTGTCGTTCGATGGCCCAGAGCTGTTGCCAGACGCACACATTCGCGCTCTGCATGCGATGCTGAGCATTCTAAAAACGCTGCCGTATTTGGTCCGCGAGTGTCCGATAGTTCCCTCATGTAGTAATGCGTCGTCAGGCCATTAAAAAAGGCACCGCTGCTGATATAAATATTTGGCTGTCGTTCCATGATCATGTGCTAATGGTATCAAAGACACATGGTTCCATCCCCCTTGAACGATTGAAGATATTTGCGTTACAATATTCTCGTCTCCACGCGAAGACGAAAGCGCGCGTTCAGTTACGTGCCGTTATTGGGTGGTGACAAACCAACAAGAAGAAGCTGCCTGGCCATTTCAATATTTGGGTGCTGGGATATGTTGCGTATGTCGGATGACAATTCTGAACTAATGCTATCAAATACGCACCGCCCAACTCTCCACGTGTAAGTGTTATTATTTTTAGACGCCTCTGTGCTCTCGTCTCTGCGCACCTCGCAGCCGTCCACGTTCAATTAAGCACCAAGTTCAAGTTTATTTTTATCTTTATTTATCGAGTTTATTATTATCAAGTTTATTCAAGTTGGCACCGACCGTCACCCTAGATGCTTGGCTCTCCTTTCATATTCCTCAGCCAGTAGTACCACTCATGCACGCTCTCACTCTCCGCACACGGTCAGAGGAAGTTTGAAAAGGCTTCTGTCTTTCGTCCCCACCGTCTTGGTGGGCACCAGACATCATTAACATGACGCCCGCGCGCATGTAAAAATTAGTCCCAGTAACCCGACCCCGATGTTTGGGTGTGTTCGATGCCCGTGCATCAGGGTCATAATAAGCGCAAGTTACCACGCTCCCTCCGAAGTAATTTGTCTTCAACTGGCGTATTTTCTTGTTCAAACGCCAGACGACCACGCCCCCTGAGTAATATGTCATCAGGGAGTCATATACAAAACAGACCCGTCTTGCCGATCTCGATCTTTGGTTGCGGTTCGAAAGTCCTGAGCCAGTGGCATGAAACGCGCACGGTACTACTCTGGCGCGTGAATAAGCCTAATCTTGTTTTATATACCGTCGTAGTTTCGCCCGCACGTGAAACGGCTTAACCCTCCAACAACACCGTGACATCAAGATCAGCTGGCGACGTCCGTCTGTTTAAGTTATCACCTGACAACGTGATGCTGCTTTCCGGCGGCCGGCAATCCTATGTAGACGAAAATAAAAACGGGGGCCTTCTAAAAAATGCATGTAACTGCGCGCACAGAGGGTGACCGTTCCCGTTTAATGGCAATGGCTCAGGGTTGTATGGCGCTATGACGCTGGCTCAGGGTTGTATGGCGCTATGACGCTGGCTCAGGGTTGTATGGCGCTATGACGCTGGCTCAGGGTTGTATGGCGCTATGACGCTGGCTCAGGGTTCGCCGCTTAGCTCTCCGCAACTGTCGGCGGGATCTCACTGGCATCCAATACCTCACACGATATTTCCTCTCGGAACCCCACCATAGATTCACGTTTTCAGAGCTGTGCCCCGGGTGGATCAGACTCTCAAATCCAATACATGTGAGGCAGATTTGTTTGAGTCTCAGAAGCGGCTGATTGGTCCGACAGACGCTTATTGGTGGGTGGTGAGATGGTCTCCACAGCTATACCACGAGGATGTGTCAAGGCATTATGTGATACGTACAGGGCTCCCTCTAT